AGAAAAGGCTTCTGTTATTTGTCACTACTCTCTGAGTCGCGAGTGACAGAAGCACAACTCAAACTAGCTTAAGCAAAATGGAGAAAATTAGTGCACATAATTTAGCAAGCCCAGAGGTGGTTCTCGCTTTGTGCAAATTAGACCTGGGACCCAAAGAGTGTCATTAGGATCCTTCTTTCTCTGTCTTTCAACTCTGCTTCTCTCTGTATGTTTGACCTTTCTCCAGCATGGATGCATTTCTTCCATGTGGCTTGGGAAAATTGCCACTCAGATGTACATCATCCAGCTTGACCTTAGTGGAAAAAGAGCTTTTCTCTCCCAGTATTCATGTGTCTCTCCCTAAAAGTATTTCTTATTGGTCTTACTTGGGTCATTTAGCAGCCCTTGGACCACTCGCTGTTGCAATGAGATAAGGTAGTATGATTAGCCATACCCACCAGCTCCGTTTACAGTGAGGGTGGGTGGCTTCTCCAAAGGAAAGACTAGGCAGATGGTCACTCTATCTTCATTGATATTTAAGCAGTACTGTCAAAGAGAAATATGTATATATATAAATAGATAGATAGATAGATAGATAGATATAGATATACATATACATATAGGTATAGGTATAGATATATGTATAGATATAGATAGCCAAATGAAGCAGTGAGGGAAAACTTACTATTTGCACTGCAGGCAATGGGAGGCATTCTGGGATTTTTAAGCAAGGGATGGAGATAGACTTCGATTTGAGAGTATCAGTCCGGAAGCAATGCAGAAGGGGACTTGCTCAGAGCCACGACTCAGGGTCAAGGAAGCTAGTGAGCACACCCCTGCAGCAATCCATGGAAATTTGGTGTTAACAGTTAAGTGCTATAGAATGCTAAATATACTAATGTAGAATATTCTACATGTGCAGGTGGGGAGATAAAGGAAGTAATAAGGTAGTAATAAAGGTCGTAGTAGGGAAGCAAAAAGATACGGAAAATGGTAAGCAGAATCAACAGGACTTGGTCTCTCAAGAAAGTGAAGTGTCTAGGATAGCTGCAGCTTCTGCCTTGAGTAACGTCATTTGCTGAGATGGAGAATACAGAAAGAACAGATGTGAGCCTAGGGGAGGAGGGATGGCCGAGATGATGCCAGTAAGCTCTAAGTTTGAGGGACTGGATATGAACAATTCGCGGTTGGATATGGGAATTTGGAGCTCCGAAGAGAGATCTAGGCTGAAATGGGTAAGTTATCAACGCACAGGTTGTATAGTTGATGAGACTAAAGGGAATCATGTAGTCTAAATGTCTGGAGTGAGAAGAGGGCCCAAGAGTTAGTGGTTTTGCTTTGATAAAGGAAGAAGTCTAGAAGGCAGCAGGCTAGCAGGCAAGGAGCACAGCTCAGACCTCAGCAGTCCAAGCAGGCAGCGAGTGCCTAGGACCCAATGGTGCCCTACCCGAACTTGCCAGACTTTGGCTCATAACTAATTCTATACAGAGGCTGGCTGCACATCTTACCTCTTTTGTTGGGTTAAGAGTGACTTTAGGACCTAACTCCATCACCGTGGAGGGGGATTCGACTAATCAAAGAATCCTGTTACAGCCATGGATGTACAAAGTGTCCTTGTGATGAGGCCAAGCCCGAGTCTTCATCAGACAGAACGCAGATATGAACATGCTGATGCTGGTGCCTGGTTGCATATATTAACAACTGTTTGCTTTTGAGCTTCAACCCAGTAAAGGGTTTCCTCAAGGAATATATGAATATGGCACAAATGGGAAAGTGTTGCTTTCCCACTGTTGCCAGTTCCCACACCAGCTTGCTTTGGTCCACATGGCTGAAAGCTAAGACACCGCCTTGCCTGCCCCCCAAGATCCTATTAGTTCTGAGTCTCATCAGTTTTGGTTCCTGTATTTGTCCTTTTCTTTTCATTCAGATTGGAGCAGCTTTAAGCTAGGGTGGGCTTAAGTTTACCCATCCCCACCCATACACCCCACTGCAGGGTGAATGTACGATCCTCCTAAGACATTTGGTGATTTTTTTTCATCCAGAGGTTAGCAAACTATGACTGCAGATTCAATCTGGCCTCCCACCTCTGTTTGTAAATGAAGGTTTATTAGAACACAGCCACGGTCATTTATTTATATTGGCTTATGTCATTTTTGCACTGCAATGGTAGCTTTGAGTAGTTGCAACAGAGATTGTATGTTCCACAAAACCTAAAATATTTGCTGTCTGGACCTTTGTAGAAAAAGTATCCCGACCCCTGTTAATCCATCCTATACACTGGTGCCAGATTAGTGTTCCTAAAATGCCTTTCACCATGTCACTTTCTTGCTTAGAACCCTACAATATTATATTGTCTGTGGAATGAAATCCAAACTTCTTGGCCTGACATTCAAGGCCCTCAATGGTCTAGTCCTAGCCAATCTTTTGAATCATTAATGTCTATTCCAAAGAACAAGCTCTACACTTCAATTAGATTTCCCTCTTCATTGTCCCTGGAATATGCAGTATATTTCTACCCTTATTCACACAATTCTCTTTGCCTGGAATGTGATGCCCATTTGTATCTACCTAATTCCCCCCCCCCCCCCATTCTAAATGAACTAACTGAAAACCTGCATCTTTCATGATCATATCTGTTCACAGGGACCACTGATGAGCCTACTGCTTGAACATGTAGAGGTTCACTGCCTGTAACCTCTGGTGATATTTTCTCTATTCAAGGCATAGTTCACTAATCCAATGGTGGGAAACTCTGGAGTGAGGATTTTCTATGTGAACAAAGGCACAGAGGTGGGAAAGCCTAGGTTTGCAAATGACCAGATGTGTAATTAGAACCCTGACTTAGTCCAGTCAAGTTTCTATAACAACATACCATAGACTGGGTGCCTTATACACATTAGGAATTTGTTTCTCATAGCTCTGGAGGCTGGGAAGTCCAAGATCAAGGCACTGGAAAATTCAGTGTCTGGTGGGGGCCTGCTTCCTGGTTCATAGACCATCATCTTTTCACTGTGTCCTCACATGGTACAAGGGGCAAAAGAGCTCTCGGGTTTTTCATGTAAGGGCACTAATCCCATTCGTGAGGGCTCCACTCTCATGACCTAGTTGCCTCCGAAAAGTCCCTACCTCCTAACACCATTACTTTGAAGATTAGGTTCCAACATATGAATTTTGGGGGAGGGCGCAAATGTCCAGTCTCTAATGAATACATACTCAGTTCCCATTTATGGAAGTATTGTGTCATCAGCGTCTTGTGTCCATGATGCACTATCTCTTGGTGCTGGACTTAAATTTGGGCAACTATGTATCTTGATCGCCAGTGGGAATGAATGATAAAGCGCAGTAAACCTGCCCCAGAGGAATCCTAGGATATAGAGATAGTGACTGGTTCGGAAAGTCCTTGTTTTATCACGTGGTACCTCTGAGATACTGGATAAGTGTGCTCTTCTCATTAGGCCTCACTTTCCCCATCTACGGTCACATATTATACATACTTACACACACTCTGGAATGAAGCAGCATCAATAACACAGCACTGATCAGAGTTCTTGGTAAATGGTGAGTTCCTAAAATATCCTCAGGCCTCACTTTGGCAGGAGGGTTATGTCCCTGACTTGGATATCATGTCTCCCAGTGGCTTGAGATGATAAACTAACGTTTCTTAAGAGTCTGTGCATTGCACAGAAGAATTTGGTTATAACACTAATTATTGCTATGTTGACTTGAATAGCTGTGGTGCAGGCACATCCCCAGAAACATAGCAACTACGGAAAATAAAGGCTTCCGTTAACACAGAGCCCAGCAGCCAGCCTTCCACATTATTGTCCTCTCCAGGAATTGGCTGTCGTATTGTAGAATGCCACTATGTCTGTCTAGCACGTTTCCCCCTGCATATGAGAGTAAAGGGAAATAAGCCAGTGCAGTAAATGTCTCAGCAAACCTTCCCAGTGTGCACTTTGGAAACAAAATGTGGAACAAGTAAGCTATCATTAAAGGCAGGCCTTTTTATTCTTAAATTAGTCACATTTATATGATGTTTATTGTCTGCATTTGAGAAGTAGGGAGAAGAAAAGTATTATGTGTGCATTCCAGTGGGAAGGTTATGCTCCGAATACAGGAGAATTACATCCCTTTAAAACCAGCCTCTAGGCATTACCTACATGTATACATGTGGCAACAATTATAATAATAAATAGCATTTATTGAGCATTTACTATGTGCCAGGCTATTGTTCCAAGTCCTTTACATGTATCGTCTCATTTCATCCCTGCCGCAAGCATAAGGTTTAGGACAAATTATGATCTCCTCTGTATGTGAGAGAAGGCTCGGACCCAGGGAAGTAAATAAAAGAACTTGCCAGAGGTCACACAGGTAGCAGATGGCAGAGCTGGGAGTCCGATCCAGGCAGACCAACTTCAGATTTCATATTTACTGTAACCTCAGTGAGCCCCACCCACATGCAATGCTCCCCCCAAGACTAGTTTAAGCAAAGACCGCCCATCAATTTGCATTGTTTGTGATGTCCAATGGGATGATTTGTCCTAGGAAATTGGAAATTATGTTGGATTATTTGTGTATATGATTTCCATAGAAGGAAGCTAACCCTACAGTTCCCCACTGTTACATGCTATCATATTTGCAGTTTATAACATCCTCTGTCTTTTCGGTTGAGACATTTTTATTCTTTGTCTCCAAATTAACACTGCATAGAACATGACTCTGTGAGTGTGTGTGTATGTGTGAGTGTGTAGAAACCGCCTTTTCTTCTGGATTAAATTGCTGCAGCCTGGCTGACTGAGGAGACTCTCCCACTCGCCGAGCCCACAGCAGACATGTTAGGAGAAAGCTGCTGGAGGCGGAGGGGCAGGTGACACCGTGCGTGTGCCCAGCATCTCTGGAAGTGTCTATACAGATGTGTGCTGCTGCTGCTGCTGCTGCTGCTGCTGCTGCTTCCGGCCTTAAAATTCCTGGAGCCAACACCCACCTACTCTTACAGCCTCTCTCTCTCTTTTATTTTCAAGGAAAAAAGAAAGAGGCAGACTGAAATAGAAGGCAAGCGACAAGAGCTTGACGAGCAGATACTTCTGCTGCAGCATTCCAAGGTAAGAGGCTGATCCCACGAACCTGTTCCATTATTAGACATGCAGATCACACTCCAGAGAGCCGGGCAGAGGCTGCCCTGGCGTGAAGGCTTTGCCGCTGACTGCACGAGCTTTTTTTCATTCAGTCAGGAAACCATCTCTTGGCTTTTCTTGTGAATTTCTCAAACCCAGGGCATTGTTACAGCATTCCAGTGTCTGTGAGCCTGATGAGATTATAGTGTGCATGTGGACGGGTTTGGGGGCTGGTGTGTGCATGTGAAATGCGCTGGTTATATATAGAAATTGGATGAGAATTTCCACATGGTGGGTGAGGCAGTGTTCCGGGGCTGCGTCTCAGTGCATTAGGTCCTGTGTGTGTGTGTGTGTGTGTGTGTGTGTGTGTGTGTGTGTGTTCAGAGGTTCCCGAGGATACGTTGAACATCATGTTCTTGGACACATTAAACATATTAATATTTTCTTTCTTGATACGGAGAGAAGGGAGAGGAAAGCGCTGCGATCTGATAAAAGAGCAACACTGTGTGTTTCGGATGATTCATTCATTTTATTTCTACTTTAACAATTTTGGAAGTGTTCTCTTAGAATGGGCAGTGGGTCAAAAGATGGCATTGCAATGATTTGACTTGGTTGGGTCTCCATTGCACCGGAGAAGAGAGAGGCGGGGGTTATTTATTTATTTTTCTTTAAAACGTAATGCACTTAAGCATCATAATTGAGTACAGCGTACGAGAAAGCTCTGTCACTGACACAAGAACTCCACGGGCTGTGGAATGCTGCTTTCTGCAGGCTTGCAGAATATTGTGAACACATTCCAGGGGCCAGCTGGAAGTTTCTGCATGCCTTCTCCTGCTCTGGGCTTTTTTTAGGGAAGCCTTCTCCTGCTCACTCGAGTTGCCGTGACATTCATGTGCAGATATGCATTGCTCAGGGGGCTGGTTGGGAAGGTTGGGGCTGACTCTTCAGGGTGATGCCAGGTATAGCTAATTTTGATTCTTTTAAACACGATGGGTCCTTGTGGTTGTATTTTCCATTCTTCTCTAGATTAGGGTTGTGCTAAATGAATCCTCGAGATGAGAATTATCAGCCAGCTGATTTCAAATAGCAGCATGACCTAAATCTGCTTAGCATATTTATCAGTTTACTATCAACTTTAACCAGAGAGATGTGTTTAAAAGGAAGAAAAGCAGCATGATGCTGAGAATATTGCCCACTTCTCTTTACTCATTGTGTAAATCTGTTTATGGACCTTTCTTTGTAGAAGCTTACAATATATCCCACATGCTGTTCCTCTTTCCTTACACCATCCCTGAGGAAGCATTGAGGGCCGAAGTTAGTATTTTCTTCTTACAGAGAGGGGGACTTAAAAGCACTTAATAGAACCGAGTGGATTTTTCAAGGTCAGTCTGGACAGAGCTGGGACTCTGGCTCACAGTGCAGTCGACTCACTCTTTACAAGAGACCAAAATGTACCAGAAGCTCAGTGAATTCTTGGTTAAAGGTAGATTTTTCATGTCTTTGACCAGACAGCCCCTCTCCTCTTTAAGCTCAGTGTGGTTCTTTGCTTTTGCATTCCTTGAATCAAAAGTCAGGCAATAAATATATCAAATCAGGTGTTTTGGGTTTTTTTTTAATCCCACTTCTTATCAGATACTTCTTACAAGATGTCAAGGACTCATTCATTGCTGATTTCCGCACAGTATCCATCCATCCATCCATCCATCCATCCATCCATCCATCCATCTTTTCATCCTTCCATCCTTCCATCTATCCAACAACAGAAATAACAGTAAAAAGGACTTAGTATTGCATGTGGAATCAGTGAGATTCCTTCAGAGACTTGGAAACAAGGGGATCAGATATTTCTTTACAGTCATGTTGGTAAAGTTCTCACATAGTTGATGAAATTGGCTATCTAAGGGAACACCCAGCACTTTTACCTAGGTGGTCTTCCTGTAACCTGGGGAGAAATGACTGAAAGTGATGGCAATTTAGTAAGTGGAGACCAATGCATTGTCATTTTCTCCCTGGGGAAAGGCCATGTAAACAGTGGGGGTGGATAACTAGCCTTGAACAATGGAAAAAAAAAAAAAAAGACTCACGGGTCCCAAAGGTGGTTTAAGAAAGACTCCAGATCTGGCAGGTACCAAGTATCTCTGCTCTGGTGAGGCGGGGTCTGCAGTAAGGCCAGAAGAATCATCAAGCCTCACCTTGGCTCAGGTGAAACCTCCCTCATGACTCTGCCTCTCTTTGCTCTGAGCCCATCATCCCAAAATAACTGAGTTATTTTGGTGGTGCCTGACTGAGAGATATGATCACTGCAGGCACCAGAAAGGAATATGTTCTACTTTAAATCATTTAGCTGTTGACGGAACCTGATAGTGTGAGTCATCTTCCCTGTGATCATTCAGTTTTCAGCTTGGCAGCCTCACTCCTTGATGGTAGTAGGTTCATTGGGGTTATAGTTCCTCTGTGAGCCTCTTGGTAGAGACTCGGCCAGCTTTCTCCTGGCGGCACGGCAGCCTTGTCATACCTTTGTCTATCCTTGATAATAGTCATGATTTTTCTGAGTCCCTAGTACTTCAGACTAGTACTGGTACTTTACATACATCCCCTCAATAATGGCCACAAAGTGTTACTTTCCCTGTCTTACAGGGGAGGAAACAAACTTGCGAGGTCAAGTAATTTGCCCAAGAACATAGAGACTATAGGTGAGGGAACCCCAGTTGAACCCTAGGGTATGACTTTCTCCAAAACCAAGCCTTCTCTAGGACACTGTTTCCTTCAAGTGAAATGTTCCATTTTGAATAATTTGTCTAGAGAGATGCCAATTATCGTCTCTTTATTACAAATATATTTTCATGGACTCCAGAAAATTGAGAGCATATGGAGACATTATTGGTTATTAGTAGTTCCTTGAAGTACAAAATATTAAGAAATGTGTCAATAATTAATTATTTCACTAATGTATAAAATCTAAGATCCTCCCTAAGGAAAATAATATATGTGCTTGGTACAAAGTTAAATGGAAAAGCATTAGAATCAGATTTCATATTTATGAAGACATAATTCTCATTATCAAATAGTCTATGGATACTTATTCTCATGCAATGAGGTATGAATTATTTAGATAGATTTATCGGTCTCTTGTCAAGGCAAATAAATAGAATGCAAGACAATAGTTTTGATGCTTATTTGGCTAATATTCTTGGTAATTGCAATATTTAGGGCTATGAAGTGAGTAATGCCACAAAATGGCATATTGTTACTTTATGTATGGACAATAAATAAATTCTACAATGCAATGAAAGACCAAAGTGTGGAATGTTGAAATATCCACTACACCCGAGTGATTAAAAAACCTCCAGATCCTTTGAAGTCCTCACCAAAGGAACCTCAGATTTCTTTTTAGAGGATCTTAGCTATATTTGGTATCTAATATTTGTGATGTAAGAATTTCCAAGAAGTGCTCACATATGGTACCAGTAAGCAATTTTAGTAGCTGAATTATTTTTGCTGATTATAAGAGAAAAGGAATGGACGATCATTGCAAAGGCAAAATTTTAAAGCACAGGAAAATATAAAGAAAAAACATAACAACTATGTACTTGTCAACCAGATGTAACTCACACAGAGGTATATCCTTCTATGCTTTTTCTCCGATATATTTTTGTAGAGTAAGGTATGTGACCCTTGATAACAGGCCTCATGAGCATGTGAGTAAAATAAAATGGTATTAACATTCAGGTCCAAAATACATTAACCTTGACCTCTTTTTTGATTTTGGTAGATGGGCTGTTTTAAATTCTCATAAAAACTTTGTCATTTTTATGAAATCACATCTTAAATTCTTTTGCTTTGTCATATCTGACTTTTATATTGTCCTTGCAAAGAACATCTCCATCTCAAACACTTGCCTGTGATGTTTCTTATCCTTCCAATAGTTTTCACCCATCTAGAATTTTTTTTTCCATAGGAAATAAGATAGGAATAACTTTACTTTTTACTGATGGTGAGCCTCAACATGATTTATTGATTAATTCATCCTTGTTCTCACTGACTTAAATGTCTTCTTTATCATAGACATATTTCTCTCTTATGTTCAAGTCTACCCTTTGCGGATTCTTTTAATTCCATGAATCTGCCACCCCTGTGCCAATACCATCTTCATTTAACCCCCCTAGCTTTTTAATATATAATATGTATTAATAATATGTCATAAGGCAAGAGCCGTCATTATTCTTCCTTTGAAGAATTGTCTTAGCTTTTTATTCCATGGAAACAATTATTTATTCTTATTGTTTTTATTGTGTGACTTGCGATAATGTGAGTTTAAAAAATAAATCAACTATTATATTATACCAGACAGACTAAATTTAATATTCCCTTTTGTCTCTTGGTCGAATTACCAGAGATTTGTCTATTTTATTGGTCAGTCCAAGGCCCCAGAAAGAGTAGGCACACAGTATGTATTGCCACATGAATCCCTTTGGAACTGTCACATTTATAAAGGTTTGTATGACAGAGTCAGCACTGTCAGAATCAAATTGCTAATATCATATCTTCAATATATAAGCTGCCTTTGAATTATTTATTTATGAGCAGGGAACCCTGACTAGAGGTTTTTTTTTCTAATCCAAGCTATGAAAATTGTCATTATATTTTAAAAACTACAGCCTTTTCTTTCAAGAAGATTGAATGAAAAAAAAATCAAAGACTAAATTGTGACCCTGCGAGATATTTATTGTAAACCCACCAAGGTCATTTGCTGCATAGCCTGAAGGTACCAGGAGCCTTGCTGCAAAGATGTTATAGTGTCTCTTGCTATTGTGAACCTTTAGCACTAATTTTAGACTTTTCTTGGTTATTAGTGTGTATGACAGGCCAGTTTAAATTTTAAAATCTTGACTAGGCAGGCAGGGCACACAGTGTAAAGGAACTCTACATCGCATCCTTTTTCCCAGTATGTCCACATCTCCACTGGCCCTACGAACAGATTGAGTACA